CTCGGGGGGTGTGGTGGAATGGCTGGTGATGAAGTCGTCACAGTGGCGTCTGTGGGAGATGAGATGTGACATGTGACCATATAGGCCACATGCTGAGGTCACGTAGAAAATCTCACAAATTTTTTGGGGATTTTTTTTAGTCTAAAACAAAAAACAAAAAACAAACAAAAATTTTCATTCCGACCAGACTGAGGACGAACCGGTAATAAAACACGTAAAGATGTTAGAGACCTGTGACGTTTTCTAACCACTCTTGTTGATCAAACCGACTCTGAAATTTCTCTGTCGTGGCACTTGATGGCGCCAGACTCAAACTTAACGATATTCAAGATTTTCCACTAAATCTGACATAAATAATTCGAAATGTTCTCTTTTTTTGCATGAACTACTACTACATTGATCAAAATCTTTACTAGTTTCATGCAATGGTTCTAAAAATACGGGTCAAGCTCCGCAAATGGGCCTCATAACAAAAGGCAAAAACATTTATTTTTTTTGTTGCTTTTTTAAATTTATTTATTTGTGGAAACATTTCATTAATTTATATAATTTATAATTTAATTTTCTCTGAAACTGTAAATATGTCCAGCGCTACGTTTGGGAACCAGAGGTTTGATACTCCTTTAAATTTTTTTTATTTTTTATTTCCGTGTAGTGGCTTTTGACAAACTGATAAGTATTGGTTTCAAGTAATGAAAAAAAAAAAGATAGTTATCATAGTTGAGACCAGGCGTTCTCAAACCGTGCTACTTGGACTCCCTCTGGTGGTACGATTGGGAATCTGAATCCGTGTTTATGTATGTTTTCACTATAATGAAATGTGTCTTATGCTTCAAGTGAGTGTTGCTGTACTACGTCATTGTACCATGTGAGTTGTGGTTGATGGAAACGTGGTTTCGTAGATGGTAAATCCTTTATTTTTAAGAAACCGGAAATACGAACTGGCTTTAATGGTAATGACAATTATGACGCTGCTGTGAATTACAGATGTTGACCAATTACAGCCACGCTAACATTTTGTATCTTACTGTGTTTCTGGAGTTAACGAATGACGTGACAGTGGAGGGTGAAATAAATCATTTAACACAGACTTCTTTTAAATAAATAAAATTCAGTTTAATTCAAGTAAAAACAACATTAAATTAAAGTTGAAAAAACACAAAGCAAAGTAAAACACGTACAAAGTGAGATTTAACTCGTGAAATGAACTCTGCTTCGCCTTTCCGATGTATTCCAATAAAAAGACACTACTGCCACCTGCCGGAGAAAAATGTACAAATGCAAAAAAACAAAAAACAAACAGCGGCAGGTATTTTGATTTAGATGGAAAATTAGTAACAATAATGACGATAATGTAATGTGCGTACATTACATTAGTAGTTTAAAATTAATTTACAACATTAATTTTTAAAAAATCTATTAGTGTAAAAAACAGTTTGATTCTTTTAAAAACATTGTCGTAAACGAAGAGCCTGATTGGATCGTTTAATCAAACCAGCGTCAGTACGAGTTGGAAAAAAATGCGAACATGCACACTAAGTCCAACCAATTACGACCCAACACCACACCGCTCCAACCAATAGTACCCGGAAGCTCATAGTCTTTTAAAGATGGGGAAAAAAACTACAATCACTGTTTTATTATTATAACGTAGTTTTCAACATTTTTTATTCGGCTTCATGTCAACTTGAAGACCAGTTATTGAATAAAGCGTGCCGACAGGTAACCGCTCCGTGACTTCCGGTCCTTTAGCACATTAGCACCATTGACCTTCACAGCCGAACAGAAGCTAATAATACGCTTGTTTTAAAATTACATCACGACGTGAAAGTTTCGGACACAATTTCTAAAATGTATTTAAAAGGTTATACATTTCAGTTAAATATAATTTCTTTTTAATAAATAGATAATTTATATAAAAGTTTCAAGACTTATTTTTGTTCCCCCGTTTTCGAGGTTCAAACTGACGCCAAAGGCAACAGACCTCTTCGTGACGTTCACAGTAGTAGATTAACGACTTAAGGCAAGAAAAAAAAAATTTAATAATTTCACGTAACAGACAAACGTCCTGTTGATGTTTTTTTACACCGTCTTTAACTCTCTGCGAATTAAATTGACAGAGAGGTTTAGGGTTTAAGGTAGAGATCAGACCCTGAAGGACAGATTTTGTCCTCCCCCGGGGGATGGGGGTACTGTACGTCCACCTTGCGATAACATCAGGATTTAAGTCCATTTCATCTGCTCCTAAATACAAGTGCCGTAAATCAGACACCTGCGGCGCTACGATTGTCTTTGACCACTAGGTGGCAGAAGCTTGCTCAGCCAAGAAACATTCGTTGTCACAGAAAGACGTTGATTTTGGCAGACACGGCCTTACAGCCAGTGGTGGAGAAATACTCTCCAGGGACAGGGGTGTAGCTCATGTCGCCACCTACTGCCTGCACCACGTCGGCGTTGCCACAGCTGCCCAGCTGACAGAGCTGCGATCGGACACAGCGCTCGACGTGGCGTCTGGCCAGCGGCAGGAACGGAACGTAGGAGGTGATGAGCTTCTTCCGGATGACGCTGGACTGGAAGAAACCGTCTGGAAAGAGAGGAAGAGTTAAGTAGTACCACTGTACGAGTTGCTGCCCCCTAGTGACTGGAGGCTTGCTATCATTCAAGCGTTACAGCAGTAGTACACACGTGCCATATTACTATTATAGCCCCCCAGGTACCTCACCGCGTTCAACCAGGGGGTCCCGCCCCACTATTTGAGGAGTCCTAGCCTAAGCGAAGACAATGCAAAAATCCACTCACTGTTCCTGTGGTTGTAAACCATCTCTGCGATGACTTCCTGCAGGTCGTCCAACGTGATCTCCTCCCTGTCCCGTCCAGCCTGTCTGCTCTCTACCGCCACCTTGTTGATCGCCTCCTCTCCTGTGGTACTGCAGCAGCGAAGAAGGAGACGTTAAAGCCTGCGAGCGTTTATGTTCCTGATGCTCCTGAGCGATAGTCCGTCACTCACCTGATGAAGATGTAGATCGCCTTGCGGTAGTTGGTGCCGAACACAACGTGGGCCGGACCCAGAAATGGCTCCAGGACGTCGATGAGCCCCGAAGGCATCGTCTCCATCTCGTCGAAAATGAAAACGGAGCGAGCGCACTCCGTCAGGTTCCCCTGGACCCAGCCCTTCAGCTCCTCCTGCAGGCCCGCAGAAGTTTAGTCCTATATCGAATTTGTGTTCCGCTACAAAATGAGTCCCCGTCCCTTACTTTGCTTACTTTAAATCCATGTAAATCGACTCACCCTGTACTCGTGGACGAGCTGACGTGAAGGAAAATGCAACGTGGGGACAAACTGGTGGACGTACGGGCTGCTCATAGCCCAGCCGTACAAATGAGTTCCGAGCATTGAGCTAACCATCGTCTTTCCCGTCCCGGACGATCCATGGAAGGAGAGCACCAGGGGGCGCTCGGGGTTTTTATCCTGAAGGAACTTGGCAACCTCCTCGGACACGATGTCCTGGACCAGGTGTTGTCCGTAGACATTCCTGTAGAGGTCCCACTCCAAATCTGATCACGGAGATGTAAACACACACGTAAAAAATTACGCTTTTTCTCGGCCCGCTCTGACCCATGAAAACCGAATCTGACGTCACCGCTAAAAATCAACACCAGACATATTGACATGTACACACAAGTACGAATCTCTACACTTAATTCCGGTTCCCCAAAAAATATCGACGTAATACAAATGATCTTTGTAGCGTTGACAATGCCGTGTCTGGACTACGAATCGTTAGCGTACCAGTGTAGGAACGGTGACGCTAACATCAATGTGCAGTAAGTAAATGTGTAATTTTAAAATCGTCTGATGGAGAGCCATCGTGTTCGGGAAACATCCGGTTGTGTCTCCTACCTCTCAGGTTGGGTTTGAAGTCGCACTCGCAGCTGTCCGACAGAGAGCAGTAAATTTTCTGGAAAACTCCAAACACCTGGGAATAAAGAGTTAAAAACAACACACCCCGCAGGATCGACATGTTAGAAAGCGCTGGCCGACATTTGGGGAAAACAACAATCGCGGCTTCTCTCTGCAGATAGGAGAGAGAGACCGGTTGGACGTTTCATCATTTCCGGGGTGTGACGCAAGTAGGCGGAGTCACCGGTAAGAACTACATTTCCCAGAAAGCACCTAAACTTCAAACTGTCGATAATCGTTCCGTTACATCTTACTCGTAAAAATGCTTAACACAATTTAGTGTTTGAGGGAATTTTTAGTCGTTAAAATATCGGTTTCAGCTACAAAAATGGCGCTTATTCGTTGGTATTTTTTTTTTCAAATTTGTTTGACGTGTGGATTAAGGAAGTCATTCAGACCATTCGTAATAATTAACAATTAATTAAAGTTAAAACCACACCAGTATTTCTTTGCCATAAGTTATGTATTTAATATAGACACAATATCAACAAACTTAAAAAAAACTCATTTATAATACATAAAATACGGACATTAAATACGAAGTTGTTGTCGCTAAAATCCATCTGCGTATAAAAACACAGCATCTAGTGATATAAAAAAAACATTGACAAAAACAAACGTTAAAAATACCGAACTGAAAATCCATTCAACAGCAGTTCTACGTTAGTTTAAGGTATTTCTTATTACGTTTCCTTTTTACTTTACGTTAAATAGAACGTATAAAAATATAGTCAAACAACATATTTGTAAAACGTACAATATTAAAATGGTTATTCAATGATATTCTGATAAAATATCTAATATTTACGATGTGTAATGTCGATAATTATTATTCTCCGTTATTAGATGGTGCGTTTAAGTCAACTGTTATACGTTAGCATTCCCGCTTTCATTTAATTTTATCCAGTTTAAAATACAAATATATACAATACATTGCTTGATATAATTTGAATAGAAGCCACACCGAACCCATTGTCTGACATGTGACGCAATACGGAAACAATATACAAACATTAAAAACCGATTGTTAAAAAAAAAAAAAAACTGACAACAAATAATAATTTTGACGCAATGCGTATGTCCGAGCTATTACTGGGTTCTTAAACACAACACGTGAGGTCGCGAGATAAAGTAGCGTGAGTGACAGGTGCCTGTCATGGCGACTGCTAAAAAAAAAGTGGTTCAAAACGTTCAAAGGAAATGGACTAGCGATTGTTTGTTTTGAAACATAAACTTGCCGGACAACGTTCTCAAGACCGCAGAGCGTTACGAGGGAAACGTTTTTTGGTGAGTAAATTATTAGCGAAGTTAATAAACAATAAAGTAATAAAGAACGTTTAAGTAAGAAAGTAGCAGACGCTTCAAAGTTTGTTGCTAACTCCTGACTAAGTGACGTAATTAAAGTGTGGGTCGGTAAAGAGTGCGAAATTAATTAGTAGAAAATCCATTTTTAATTTTTTAATTTTTTTTTAAAGTTATAACAAGTGTTTCTGGTCTGGTTGGTGGTGAGCGAACAGCCATCCCTGCCGACCGGCAGCCATGTTTTTTCTTTTCCCGCCGCCACGTATGAGTTTCTTCTTCTTCTTCTATTTCTTTGTAGTTAAATGCCGAAAATATGTCATAAAAAACGTCCTAATTTAAGTCATGTATCAGCATGAAGAAAAAAGTGGAACAGTAGACTCGTTCCGCTCAGGGATCCGTGTGTTTGACGGGCGGCTCCAGTTTGTTGGACAGGGCTGTCAGGACCTGGTCGAACTTAGCGTATCTCAGAGCCTGGTTCTCTGTCGCCCCCCTGCTGCCCCAGAGGAGCCTCAGCTGGAAGTCCGTTAGGAAGAGCTCCATCGTTTCCGGCTGTTCCTGGAAATCTGCAAAAATCATTGTAGCTCCAGTGAATAGAGATACGTATGACCCGTGACTAAAGTTAACGTTTTGGTAACGTGAACCTAACACTTGTTCAATCATTATATGTAATTAATAAACAGTAAATATAACTTTTAATACATATATTTTTTTTCACCATCTTTAATTTTACTACCTGTATCTTTTACCTTGAAGTTTGGTCTCAGCATTGGATTGGTAGATGCCCCCCAGCTGGGCAATGGTCCTCGCTGCCCCAAGGTGAAACATGACCACGTCCACGTTGACCTCCATCACCTCCCACAGATCGGCGCCCTCACCCATCGCCACTTTCTTTTCCATTAGAAACAAGAGGGGGAGGACATGGGGAAAAGTGACGCCGGTTAACGGGCAGCTCTCTGTCGGAGGAGAACGCAATTGGATTAAAACACAAAATTCAAATGAATGAACAAAAAATATATATTTTTCCATCTTCCATAAATCAGTGATTCCTAAGTCGCACTAAATTTCCATGACCGCAGTACCTCCACAGGCCTCAAGGGGTTGCTGACAACCTTTTGAAGACCTAATAATATATATATATTGTTTAAATAATAAACAACAGAGTCATACAAAAATTATTTTTAAATGGTTAGCTAAATTTTTATACGCAGTGATGGTTAGCAGTAGAATGAGTAGTAGTAGAAGTAGTATTACAAGTACTAGTAGAGATCTAGTACGTCACCTCTTCCATTATCCAGGCGCTTCATAAATGGTCTCAGGGTCTTCTCGTAAAGAATAGCGCTCTCTGTGTGTCGCTGCCGTAATGCGACCCAGGTCTGCTCCAGCCGGGACACCTGGTGGACAAAAAAAAACAACAGGAAAGAAACGTTAGTCTTAAGTCTAAGTTTTTTTAATCCAATTTGGCTTCGTAAATACAATGTTTCTCAGCAAATAACGCAAAGTGTGTCTTAAAGTGAGGCGTCGTACCGACCTGCGGCAGCTCTAAGGCCCTCATGACGGCGGCGAAGCCGAACATGTTCCCCATGTTGCTCTTGAGTTCAGCGGCAATTAGGATCATTTTGTGAAACAGACAGGCCCGCTCCTCGTTTGTGCCTGTGCAGCCCAACAGGTCCACAGCCAACATGGTCGCCATGGTGTGAAACCTGCACTGGCACCGAGAGAGGCAGGAGAGGATTGACGCAACTTGGGTCGTAGGTCAAAAAAAAAAAAGTTGACTAAAGTGAAAATCTGTGACGTACCTCTCCAACAAGTCCCGCCTGAGCTGCTGGCCGTGTGGCAGCGTAAGAAGCTCCATTCCAGAACTGACTCCCATCATCTGCTCGACCTCGGGAGACACGTCCAAAATCCTAGCCACCTGCGAAACACATGCGCCGTCACCGTCAGGAAGTGGAAAGAGTTCCTTTCTTTACAGAAAACACTTATTTTTGACCCGATTTTTGACCTGGCGACGCTAGGCCCGATTTCACATTTCGTCTGGCGTCTTTTTTCATACAGTGTACAGGGGGGTAACGCGGGCCGATTATCTGTTGCTGAATCACCGTCGGATGGTCGGGAGAATTTCTGACATGTCCAAAATTTTTTATTGGCCGACACATTCTTTCGCACAGTGGATGGTCACCATGGCGAGGCGTCGGTGGCACGAAAATATGGAGGCGAGTTTGATAGAGCTGTGGCGCTGTCCACAATAAACGTAATAAACAATAAACGCGTCCACGTTTATTGAGCCATCTCCAACTCCAGATGCGCCAGCGCCTCTTCTTTTTCGAATTTTCAAGGCACAGTATCACAGCAATCACAACGGCAGCCTTCTTCTTTTTGATTAGCATGTTGCTAATAACCCGCGTCGGAGCTTTCAAATAAATCTTTATTGACAGCTGTCATTAGACAGGACAGTCAGCAGGGGGCGACGGGCCGTTTTCACCCGCACAGTGTGAGCTCTCTGGTTGTGTTCGATGATCGGACCGAGTACATAAATCGTGAGCTTTGTCCGAACATTGCTCGCACAGTGTTTGACGGTATCAACGACAGGATTTAAAAAAAAAAATATACAGTGTATGCCCGCCCTTAGGCCACTTAGGGACCTGACGTCTTGGTTGTGTAACCGGTCACAACCAACGTTTTTAGGCGCATAGCGCCACCTACTGCCCTGGAGGGGGTAGTGTCACGGTATGACCAGTGACTTTTTGCGATAACGCGGTCCAACTGATGCGTTACAGATGTGAATTGTGGGGTGTCTGTATCGATTTTGAACCGATTCACCTTGCAGTCAGCCTTGGTGATGTGCTGTGCCGCCACCTTGGGGTCGATTTCAGACAACAGCTCTTTAACCCTCCGTAGAATTGAGGCCTCCAGAGGCTTATTTCTCTCAGGCATCAGCTTTGACTGATACATCGTGGGGTTGAAAGACGTCATCTCCATGACGGGTGAGACATAGACGTTCGTGTCCTCCTCCCTCCTTCGTTGATCGGTACCCGTGAGTCCGTCCTCGGACTTCAGTCTTTCTGTGTAACTTTGGGGTTCGAGGTACAGCTCGGTGTAGCAGCCTCGATCTGCGTCGAGAGTGGGGGGGTCTTGGTCGACCAAAGGCCGGGATCTGCTGTTTACAGAGGGCGTCGGCGAGGGTGGAGATGGAGCCCTAGTGGCTGTCTGTGTGCTTCTTGACTCAGAGTCTGGAATTGGAAGTAAAGCAGAGATAGTAATTAAAAAAAAAATCGCAAATTAGCAGTATTACTTCACAGTACTAGCTACTGCAGCTTACTTGGAGTACCATTTGGAGAGCATGGAGTGGATTCTTCTGGACTCTGGACCTGAGTCTGGACCTTTTTCTCTTGGTTTCCATGCGCATCCTGGTGGTGTAGTGAGGAAGGACTGCAGAGAAACAAAACAAATCGGAGACGTTGAGATGATGTTTACGTTAAATCTCTGATTTGCAGATTGAAGTTTCACCTTCTCGGACGGACCCCTGCGATCTTCTCCTTTTCATCCCGTTGACACAACCGTGGACAGAAGGCCGTCTCCAGATAGCTGAGTGGCAGTGTCCTGTTGACCGGCTGGAGAATCTGGACCCCACTGTGTTTGGTCACGACCGCCCTACTGCCCACGTAGAAGTGGACGAGGGCTGGAATGGTGTCGAAGCCCTGGCCTTCCACCGCGTACTGGACCTGAGTGTACGTCTCGCCAGCCTGAATTGCTGTCTTTCTGATGAGGAAGTGAAGTGACCTTTGATCCCAGCGGCAGGTGAGGACAAAGTCCCCCGGACTGGACTGAGATTGTCTTACCAGGAAGTCACCTTGGCTCAACACGAGGGTCTCCGACACCTGTAGAGACATTTCAAAAGTCACATTTTGGCCAAATTGTGACGACTTTATCCAAAGATGATCCAGGGATGTGTCTGATACTAACTTTTCTGCGACATCCGATACGCCGATATTGTCCAAGTGCTTAATTTCTGATTCCGGTCGATCGATATTATCAGCTATCCCTACTAAATATGATGTAGTGTAAAAGCATTGTTTCCCAAAGACTGTGTCGCGGCCCTCAGGTGGGGTCGCAAGATTTTTATTTTTTTTTTTTGTTTCCCAGAAGTTTACGAATAACGTCTATTGACTTGGGTCGTGAAGATTTGTGACGGGTCCCCCAGAAAAAAAAAGCTTGGGAAACACTGGTGTAAAGTATTTAATGCTATTGTTAATACGAAACCAAGAACTAAGTCATGCGAAGATTTCTGCGACAACCATCCATCCATTTTCATCCGTTACCGGGTCGCGGGGGCAGCAGTCTCCACGACCGCCACCCAAATCAAACTGCACTGTACCAATGCCCCCCCGAACCTTCCTGCAGGTGGTGAGTCCACTGGAAGGTACCAACCGCCCTAACTGGGATTCGATCTTGCCCAGGAGGTGAACCCTGGGGTTCCACACCAATCACAGAGACGTTGCCTCTGGGCCAAAGCGCTACTAAAATATGGGTCCCCGAAAATCTTTTTTGGAAAACACTGGTATAAAGTATTCAAAGCTATTGCTAATACTGCGACTATGGTACCTTGAAAATCTGACTGAAAAATATGCAACCAAGAACTAAGTCATGCGAAGATTTCTGCGACAACTTTCTATTTATTGCCATTGTTTTTGCGTGTTTGTGTGTTTGCGTGTGTGTTGCCAACCTCCCAGGGGATGTGTCCGTGGTACCAGGCCTGGCTCCTCAGGTCTGTGCCGTTCAGCTTCAGCTCCTCCTCCACCTGCTTCACCTGCTCCTCCGTTGGCGGCTCCAACCAGAACTTCTCCTTGGAGAACTTGAAGGTCATCACAGGTGCAACACCGACGACACAAACGAGAAAAACAAAAAACACACTCGTTTTACATGCGTCCTTTGCTACGGTAGCTAACGGTTCGATTCCCGTCTCTTTCCTGTTGTTTGTCTCCTCTTGAGGGTGAATTTCAACAAACTAGAAAACTCCTCATCTCTGCTCTGTGTGAATATGTGCGTGAGTCAAAGAGGGCGGGGTGAGGGTGGAGTGGGGGGGGGTTGGCAGGGAGGAGCAGAGGATGGAGAGCTCCGCACCAGGGGAGGGAGGGGGGGCGACACACACACACACACACGAGACATTCACAGTGACGGACACTGCAAAAACTGAGGGGGGAAAAAAAAACAGATCAGACATGGCGGAAATCTCACCTTCACATACTCCCCACTGATGTCAGACTGCCTCCGGTGGCTGAAACACAAAATGACATCCACGTCACATGTCACGTAGCTTTAACGTCTCTAATATGAAAAGTTTTAAAAACATTGTGTGTAAAAAAAATTACATTTCTGGACCAAAATTTGAATCCGATGAATTGCAGAAAAGCTGCGGATTAGTTGCGATTGTTCTTCATCGTGATGGATTTATCCGATGGATGACATGACGTATTTTAGGCTCTGACATTTCTGCAAATTTTTAATTGATTGGACGGTGGAATTATTGGATATAGGTTTATTCTAAGACTGGTGGTTCTCAAACTGTGGTACGTGGTCCCTTAGTGGTACGCAGGGAAAATTCATATTTTCACATTTTACATTTTTTAATTGAATAAATCTGAAAAATGAATACTACATTTTGGCGGTACTCGGAGAGCTCCATGTTTTCTCAGGTGGTACGGAGTATAAAAAAGTTTCGGAACCACCGATCGAAGAGTTTTTTTTTTTTGGTGCGAGTTCTAGAGACTGAGAAACAAAAAGCTAAAATCCGAGCGGTGGAGAAAAACCGCCTTCTTTTTTTCTTATCTGGCCGACTGTTGTTTGTTGGCCCCCTGCTGGTGTACTGCTGTCATTGACCTCCAGTCGGTACACAGTCGACTATGTAGTGACGGTTTTCTCCCTGTTCCTGTTCCCCACGTCCTCTTGCTCAAGCAGCAGAGCGTTGCTCTGACTCCACCCGGCAACAGCTTGCAACACAACTGACGTCCCCCTGGGGGAGAGGGGGGTATTTCTACTCTTTGGTACAGACTGAAGAAAAGTGGCCTTTTTTTTTGGCTTCCAATCTCAATAAATATTTTTCCCACCAAGTCTGAAGGCCATGGGAGTCGCAAAACTTTGGAGGGGAAAGCTGAGGGGGAGGAGGGGGGGAGGATGAGAGTCCCCCCCTCCTCCCCTCCCTTCTGACAGCTAGTTATGTGCCGTGCCAGTGAAGAATCTGCTCTTACTCAACCGAAGAGCAACATCAGGGGGAAAAGTCACTGGGTTCCCAAACAAACACTTTGGACATTTGGTTCTCAAACATCTGACCCCGGACCCGGTTTCAGGCCGTGGGTCACTTGTGACAGGGTCGCTGAGAGAAAAAATTTAAAAAAAATGTAAATGACATATATTTATGTCGTTCTACTGCAAATCTTTTGAAAAAAAATGGTGAAAATCAAATAAGGAATTAATAGAATATAAATAGATATAAAATGTTTTCTTTTTAATATATGTATACTATAATAATAAATGTTAAATTAATATTAATTATATAAAACTATATTTATAGTAAATATATTAATATTTTTTACATTATTTATTATTTTCGAAAATATTTATTAAAATCAATTTTATTTAATAGTCTTGTTTTCACCCAGGTTAAATATACGGCAGGTCCATATATTCAATCCATATATATGTCGTGCCATATACAACCCGATAGAACACCTTTGGGATGAATTAGAGCGGAGACTGAGAGCCAGGCCTTCTCGACCAACATCAGTGTGTGACCTCACCAATGCGCTTTTGGAAGAATGGTCAAAAATTCCTATAAACACTCTCCTCAACCTTGTGGACAGTCTTCCCAGAAGAGTTGAAGCTGTAATAGCTGCAAAAGGTGGACCGACATCATATTGAACTCTGGGTTAGGAATGGGATGGCACTTCAGTTCATAGTATGAGTCAAGGCAGGTGAGCGAATACTTTTGGTCATATAGTGTATGTTGCTAATATATTGACCTGCCCCCCCCACACTCCCTCTCCCCTCCCGCCCGGCTCGATATGGTCTTCTGTTTCTTCTTGTACCGCACGCACGTTCACTACGATTGGACCTCTGTTTACATGTCCCGCCCACTAGTCGACAAACTTAGCTCTCATTGGCTCTCGCCCTCTTCAGGTAACACAACCAAATCAGCGCTGGCGCCCGGCGGGAAATTTTTTTGTTTAGTTTTTGTTGGTTGACTAGCGCGTCAATTCAACGTCATTATCGTCATCATTCAGGCTCACATAACTTCCTGTTTATTTTTTTTTGACGTTTGTTGACAAAGACAAAAAAAAAACAAACACGCAACCTACCTGTCGTCACGCATCACTTCCTGCGCAGGGATGGCTGTTTCCTTTGCACTTGTGACGTCTTGCTGCTTTCCCTCTTTTTTCAAGTCGGTCGGTCCGACGACCGGCTCCATCGGGACGTACACGTCCTGACTGGGTGCAACCTGGCGGCCCGTGGTCGCCATGTTTGGCCACCTGCTCTGTAAAGTCTCCCCCCTCCTCTCTGGGACGGCGTTCCTCGGTGAACGGTTCCAGCAGCCCTTGGGCACCGGGGTCAGTGGTGGGGGCCGTCTGAGCGCCGGAGATGCCGGTGCAGACTTGGGCAGCAGCTGGTCGAGACTGGCGGAACTCAGGCTTAAGAGGACGCTGAGCAGGGGGGAGTCAGTGACACGATCCCCCGCCTCCCACTGGCTCTGCCCCTCACTCGCCTCCTCCCTCTCCCCCTCCTCCCTCTTACTGGTCCTCCTCGTCTTCCTCAGCCCCCTGCAGCTTTTACGCCTGTCACCGCGGGGCTCGGTCCCTACGTGGGAGTAAATGTCACCGGAGCGGCCGCGGTTCGAGGCGTACCCGGCTAACGAGGCGCTGCCGCCGCCACAGCACTCCTCGCGCTGCTTCGCTTCTTTGAGGCAGTCCTTGGATGATGAGAGGTTGGTGAGGCTTCCGAACCACTTGAAACCTAGAGAGTTGGCAGTTAAAAAAAAAAACATAAATCACATCTGTTTTTCAGTGATTAGATCCGATAGCGATTACTTGTTTCGTTTTCTACAAGGAAGTGTCGGCAATTTTTAAAACAAAAGTTGCTAGTTGAAATCCCAAGGACTTGTTATTATATATAATTGTCGGAAAAAAAATCTAACTGTGAGACAGGAGCTGCTCTTTACTGCCCCCGGGGGAGTGGGGGAATGTTTGGTCCTAAACTCAACACTCAATTTTTTTTTTTTCCTCAGGACTTGACTTCCTCCTCAGCAGCTGCTCGGCCTCAGTCTGTTTCTCATTAAATATATCACGCACTTTGACAAACCGCTTTGATCTTTCAGACATGTTCGAGTCCGCGTTCAGACTCACGTGCCAGAGCGGAGCCGCTTTTGAACCCGAGGACTAGTGAAGTACTTCGGAAACAGCAACACAGTGATTTTTTTTTTTTTACGGACTAGGTCAATGACAACTAGTTTGACAGAGGGCAGAGGGCTGCAGCCAATCACAGCTGTCATAGGATGAGGGCGTGGTTACAGCCTGGATATATTAGCTAGCATAGAGACAACCAACCATTCACACTCGCGTTCACACCAACGGTCAATTTAGAGTCGACAATTGACCTCATCCTGCCATTCAGAAAACACGTTTTATTAGCGATGTCCGAACGTTTAGTCGATATCCGATACGCCGATATCGTCAAATCACTCAATTAACCTCATCCTGCCATTAAGAAAACACGTTTTGTTAGCGGTGTCCGAACTTTTTGCCGAAGTCCGATACGCCGATATCGTCAAATCACTCAATTACCCTCACCCTGCCATTAAGAAAACACGTTTTGTTATCGGTGTCCGAACTTTTTGCCGAAGTCCGATACGCCGATATCGTCAAATCACTCAATTACCCTCACCCTGCCATTAAGAAAACACATTTTGTTAGAGATGTCCGAACTTTTTGCCGAAATCCGATATGCCGATATCGTCAAATCACTCAATTACCCTCATCCTGCCATTAAGAAAACACGTTTTGTTATCGGTGTCCGAACTTTTTGCCGAAGTCCGATACGCCGATATCGTCAAATCACTCAATTACCCTCACCCTGCCATTAAGAAAACACATTTTGTTAGAGATGTCCGAACTTTTTGCCGATATCATCAAAATACTTGATTTCCGATTCCGATATATCGACCGATACCGACATATGCATTTGCCCCAAAGACTGAGGTACCCTGCAAGCGATTCTGGCGTATTTTCAGATATCGGATTTTGATTATCAAAGGAAAATCCGATAACGATCGTTACCAACATCACATAATCATGCTAATATCGGGCCGATAATATCTATATTTTAATACAGAAAGTTGAAAGTCTGAATCTTCATGGCATTTACCACATCTTCCACCGGGTGGCCCCTCAGTACCGACCAGGTGTGGAGACGAACGAGCCAAACATCACGCTACTGTTAATGATCTGTGATGCGTTCACTGTCCCGAGTGTCAGTGGAGGGTTCTGTTCTCTCTCAGACCGCAGGGGGAGAAACAGAGTCGGCCGTTGTCTCTCTTGCGAGACACTCACTGTCCCTCTGTTCCCTCTGTTCTCACTCGTCCAATGAGATGACACAATGACACGTCTGTCCCGCCTTCACAAAGAACTGTAAAAAACGCACACACTGAGTTGGCCGGTGGACAACCAAACGCCAACACACACCATCGCCGTCCAAACATCGTGTTCTTTAAATAAGAAGAACCAGTGTCTGCTCTCCGACTTATCGGTACTTTCTCCCTGGTACCGATTTTTTTAACCGAGTTCTGTAACCTCCGAATAATTAAATATAATGTATGCAAAAATATTTGGGGCAGGGTGGTTTGTACTCTTTGTCTTACAGCACCGGTCCCCAACCTCTGGTCCGGGAACTGGTGCTGGTCCGTAGGTCATTTGGTACCAGGATTTAATGGCAGAAATGCATGATTGCCACCTGCTGGGCGTTTTCTCGAGAGGTACATTTTTTACACTTACAGAATTTACAGTAGACCCTGAACCTGTGTAGTGGCAACGATCTGGCGATACGTATCACGATACAGAGGCAACAATACGATATATTGCGATTTTAATTGTTTATTTATTTATTTTTAAACAAATGACAAAAAATAGTATTGTTTGACTCAACGTTAAAAAACAAAATTGCGAAAAATACGCAATCCGCGTATAATCGACTAGTGGTCGTAGGTTTGAATGCCAAAAAAAAACAAAACAACAACAAAATATTGCGATACTTCAATGTATTAATACTTCCCTACGCCATCGATCCTGGTCAACCCGTACGTAACAACCAATCACACGGTGCGTAGGCTCAATGGACACGTCTGACTCCAACGTTATGTGGTCATTCAAAATTACTCAGTGGAATTTTTTTTTTTTTGTTATTTCACACTCCATGTGACTCAGTTTCAGCATCATTCGAGTTCATTTGAAATTAAACAGAAGAGTTTCGCAAGCGTCGAGCGGGTTAAAAAAAAAAAAGAGTAGATTTGACCGTGTTGCAAAAATGTCAGTGTTCCTTTAAAACACCAACCCCATAAGATGGAGTACCAAAAAAATCTAGTAATTATTTTTAAGAAAATTTAAAAAAAAATTCCATCAAACAATACACGTCCATGACATTAAATTGCCCACAAGAGCAACAGGGGAATTCGGAACTCACCCAGTTTCTTTTTGTTCATGGTAGAGATTCACACGGTCAACTTTCTCTGTACGTTGAATTTAAAGTTGTCCGCGCCGTTTGCGAACGCACCTCATGCTCTTAACTCGGTTGATGTGCCTTCTGTCCGCACACAGGAAGTGCTGCCTGTCATGTCATCACACAGAGGGGAGTTAATGAAACGATGTGACTCGAAATAACAGTTCTCCAATCGGGGGGGTGGAAACATGCAGAGAAACGTAAGAAAAAAAAAGTAAAAATACAAGTATTTAAATTTTATTAAAATTTGTTTCAAGTTTTGAGTGGAAATTAAGTCAAATATTAGTTTATTTTTAATATTTTGATTTTTTTTAAATGTATTTTTTTCACTTAAATTTCGAATACAAAATGAAGAATTTACATTTTTTAATATATATATATATATAATATATAAATATATTTTTTTATATTAATAATCTCATATGTCCAATATTTAACATTTGGCCAGCAAGAAAAACACAATTTTTTACTTCCTGTTTCACTTCTTCTAAATGATAGGTGGAACTCTCTGCCCAAAACTTTGGGCAACTTAAATAAAACGAGTAAAAAGAAAATAAGAAGTCAAAC